TCGAATTGAATCGGACGACACGAAAAGAGAAATTGGAATTCCTATTTAACCAAGGTGGTTCATTTAGTATCAATCAAGAGTAATGCTATTCAATTTTACTGGTGACAAATGTATGATATTAAATGAAAGATTCACTTAAATGTAATGGCACGTGATTTATTTAATTGATCTTATCAAGCGTGACCACTTAGAGTGGCACTCTAACTCTACTGATATTAAGCCCTTGTTTGATTTCCATTTTGGAGAAATAATGTATTTTGAATAGTAAATTGGTGGAGAATATAATTAAAAATTAGGGGAAAAACATAAGTTAGGTATTACGAATGCATCAAATCAATTTCCAAATATTAAATTTTAAAAATGCAAAAGTCAAGTGTTAATTCTATTTTTAATTTTAAATAATAATATTATCAAATTAAATTAATTTACCCACACATATCCCACCTACCCTCGCACACCAGTTGTCGTCATCCACCTGTTGATAACTTCTTCAGCAACGAACATGATCGTCGCCACCTCAAAACCATACCTACCCCACCCACCATCGTGCACCAATCATCGACATCTACCCGCCGATTACTTCTTCAGCGACAAACATGAGCATCTTTGGCTCAGATAGTAGAGATAGACAGAAAAATATAGTGATCCTTGGAGAACATCGACTTATGTAATTTACAGAATACTTACAGAAGCAAATAATTTCAATTCTCATTGTCAAAATCTGGTTAAATGAATTTGCGACCAGTTTAGATAACTGAGGTCAGAGAAATCAATGGCATGTAATCAAATCTCTTGAATTTGTGACATTTGACCTATGCACTTCGACATATATGTTTGTGACCTAATCCAATGGGCTGTGACCAATCAATGGCATGTAATCAAATCTTTTGAATTTGTGACATTTGACCTATGCACTTTAACATATATGTCTGTGACATGATCCAATGGTCTGTGACCAAATCTCTTGAATCTGTGGCATGTGGCGTGAACCAATGATCTGTGACCAAATCTCTTGTATTCGTGATTGTGACCCGTTAACTTGACAAGTGACCTATGTTTTGATTTAATGGCCTGTGAACAAACCTCTTTGGTCTGTGACCAAATTTTTTGAATCCGTAACCTATGACCTATACACTTTAACATGTATTCTGTTACATGTGACCCGTGATATGGTCCAATGGTCTGTAACCAAACCTCTTGAATTTGTGACCTGTGACCTATGTACTTTGACATATAATCCATGCATTTTGATAGATCACATATTTAAGAGATTTTGGTCATAGAACCTCAATCAATTATGACATATACACCACCATCATCACCACCTGTGGACATTGATGCATCACCAACATTCCACTATAGCCATCACTATAACACTCCACCACAACCACCGTTATCGCACTACCACCACAACCACTAACAAACCAACAACCAAGTAAGTCACCAACGCCAAAAATCTACTCTTCAACCTCTAAAAATCCATTACAAAACACCAACTTCCGGTTACCATGGCCATAGGAATCCACCACCAATAAATTCCCCTCTTCAAGATATACAAATCCATTACAAACATCAACCCAAACAACAACCAAATCGGACCAAATCTGGCCTCAAAATAACAAGTAACTCATAGCCTCCATCCAAATTCTTGCCACTTCGACAATACCCATGGTCAAGGATCACAACCAACTGATTCTCCTTACCAAGGTGACCGATTCCATGGTCTTGATTCATCAAAACCACTCCCACAAGTCGATGACCAAAATAAAAAATTTCACAGTCGCAAACAGTTTTCGCAAGAACAGGCAATTGTTCAATTGATGGACTAAATGCATTCCAAATGATGAATTCTACCCAACAACATCCAATTGAGGTCCTTAATACTGTAGGTAATCCATCAATTGAACCAATTAACTAGCCAATTTATCCAAATTTGGGATATATTTGAAAAATTTCCTTTTGAGCATTTAGACTTTTTCTCAACTAATTGGCTACTCCACCGTGCTTCAATACAACAAATCTGCTGCGAAAAACCAATGGAAGTCCAAAAGATGGCACCAAAGAATATGGGTGTAGAGAGATGTCGCTGGATTAAATTAGGGTAAAGAGTGAGAAACGAGTAGATTAATATTAATTTTGATTAAAAACGTGATTTATGCTCAATTATACTTTATACCTATTTATAGAATTGATATCTTTACATTCTGGTTGTGGTGTAATTTCCTCTAAAAATTAAGCCCCTGTTTAAGCCCAATTCTTTGAAAAAAAAAAAAATTCCTGAACAATGTTTTGACATCATTTTAATCACATATTCTTCAATAAAATAATATTACACGCAAATCTAAAAAAATTTCTTATTTTTTTTTTTAACCACACATTTCTCATCAATACACTATTCAAAAATTCATTTTTATGAAAAGAATATGGCTCAAACAAGGGCTAAAGAAAAGTTTCAAATTTGTGTGTAATATTATTTTATTGAAAAATATGTTGTTGAAAATGAATTTTTAGAACAAGGGCTAAATAGTAATATTCTTCAATCAATTCCATTACTTTATTGTGCATCCCAACGTGAAATAATTATGAGTATTGTTGCCCCCAGGGCATATCTCCCAGTGGCAAAGGGGAGGGCGGATAGGGCTCAGCGCGGCAGTGTGCAGAGTTCGATTCCCCGCAAGGTGGAATTGGCTTTGTTGCAAGTGGGAGTTACCATATGGGTTAACAGCCTTGGCCTATCCATGTGCTCTCCACCCTAGCTCCTGGGAGGCACATCCTGCGATTTACCTCCTCCACGATGGCCCAGGGCAGGGTCGGTGGGGGCCCTTAAGGTTGGGGTTCAACCTTTTTTTTTTATTATGAGTATTGTTAATTAATATAAAATAATCACTTATAAAGAATGGGAAAACGCCGACTACACAAAGTAGCCACATCACACCCAATTTAGAGCATGTCTTGGAGTGCTTCTTTCCAAATTATATAATAAGAGAAAATTCGTCCCTCATCTACAAAAAATGGGGCTCATAATGTTGCATCATTTTTTTACTACACCGTTCAGTCAATTAAAAATTTTAGTGAAAAAATCATGATATCCCCACATTTTTGAAATTTCACATCATTACAAGGACATTTTTGACATTTTTAATACTAGGTGAAAGATAGCTACAGTTTTTGTCTCTTTTTTCCCAATTTCCTTGCAAACGTGGGGCCCATTTAGTATAACGGTCAAAATTTTTATTAAAATTTGAGTGTAATTGCTTCCAAACACATGCTAAAATATATATGATGACATTTCACATTAGAAAAATGGGTCAGCCACTCTTTTTTTTTTAACAATATTGAGTTCTAGAGCATATTTGGCTAAGTTTAAACCAAGTTTTATTAGTTTAGAGAAAAAGCAATTTTTTAAATTATAATCAGTAAAAAGAAAAATTTAGAAGCAATTTCAATTTCGTGTAAAGCGTAGCTAAGTATGCTCTCGTAGAGCCGTAGATGTACTTGAGGTTCTCTTGGAATATTCTCAAATCAATGTGGATCCCCAAATACAATCAATGAGAAAAACTAGTGAAAATAAAAGAATGAAAAAAAATAAAAAAAATATTTTTTGGGAGTAGTAAAATTAAGCTTTAAATATAAATAACTTGTTAGAGTACTTAAACATTTTAAAGAGATTTTCTATTTTAAAGAGTATATTCTATAATTCAGAGAGCATTTATAAATTTAGAGGGTGAGTATTTTGAAGTACTTCGATGGACTTATTTAACACTTAATTCTATTACTCTAAAAAATTATTTATTATTTTTCTCTATCTTTTATTTTAACTAAGTTTTTCTACTACTCCCAAAAGCTTGTTAAAATAAAAGATAGAGAAAAATAATAAATATTTTTTTAGAGTAGTAAAATTAGGTATTAAATACAAAGAGCTTGTTGGAATACTTCAAAAAAATAACTTTCTAAATTTATAGATATTCTCCAAATAATAGAATATACTTTCAAAAATAGAGTCTCTTATAGATGCTTATTTTCTAAATTTATAAATGCTCTCTAAATTATGGAATATGTTCTTTAAAAATAAAATAGCTCTTTGAGAAGCTCTAACACTATTTTTTACAAAAAAAATAAAAAATAAAAATAAAGTGAAATGTTGGTGTAAAAAATAAAAAGAGTTGGATGGTACTATGGGAAATAGTTTCTTTTCTTGGCTCTCTCTGAAACTTTCCCGTTACTTCCTCAACATATTTTTGTTTCATACGAAGTGGGCCTTAACAAAGCCCGGTCCCTAATCCGAAGATAAAGTATCTCATCACCGAACTGGAGCAGTCTGCGAGCTAAGCAGGAAAAATTCATTTAAGCCACTGGCGGACCCACATGAGCTCAAATGACCTCATAGTTTTTTAGATTTTTTTTTTCTTTTTCCTTGCTTAAAACGTAATTTTCTGTCAAAGTAGTGAGCCAACCCAATTAATTTCCCTAGCCCAATGCCCAAAAAGCCCGTACCCAAATCCTATTATAATAGCATATGGTCTTATTTTCGTTAATGATATATTGTTCGAAAAAAAAAAATTCATTTTTGACCCTACAGTTCAAACTGTCTGGATCCGCTCCTGATTTTAAGCCATGAGTACAGGAAAAGTTTAATATACCGACATTGATGTTATAGAACATGATTGGATTATTTTTTTCTTTTTTTCTATCTTCCAATGATGTCACGCCATGTATTGTCTGTAAGATTTTTCAGTCAAAAAATTCTGTATCTGTAACATTGTTGTAAAAAAATTTCATAGCACCCAGACAGGAAATATATTACAGTAATGGCAGCCTAGATTGCATATGTTCACACAAATAAAAGATTAAACGTGAAGGCTGGCAGAGAGTTGCATATCCATTCAGAAAATGAGACATCCATTGAAGGAAAAAGATCCAGAATTATGTTAAATTTGATAATCTTGTTAAAAGAGTTGCCATTCAATTATCCTGAAGTATGATGATTTTGAAAGAGCATATACAGAAACAGTAAAGAGATTTTATTTTTATTTTTTCAGCTTGAAATATATCGAGCAATGAAATTCACCAAAAATCCCTGCAAGAACAGGCTCCATCGACAAACTTGTGGAACCGAATCCGGTCCCTAACAATGATCTCTCTATTGTACAGTCTACTTATTATCTTTGTCACTTCATGACAATCTGCACAGACCCTAAGATTCTTTACCACTCTAATCACTTCAGGCTCTCTAGTCTTCAGTAGACCATAAGCAATGGCTAGCCTTTCGCTATGTTCATAAAGAGCATCACGTTTTTCTCCGTCACCCATCTTAGATAAAACTGCTGCAATCCAAGGCTCATGCCCAGTACCATTAACCCTCACAGAGATATCTCTTAGAATTTCATTTATTTCCTTTGCTTCCGGGTGAGACCAATCACCCATCACAAACTCGTGCACAAAACCATTAATTTCAACTGAGCTGCAACCTGGTACAGCCTTTATGCTTCTATCTTTCATCTGTTTTCTTACGCGGCTCATTTTCACCCAATCTGATCCTGCTGCATACAAACTCGAGAGTAAAATATAGTTTTCTGCATTGAGTGGCTCTAATTTAAGAAGCCGCTCTGCTACAATTTCGCCTTTGGCTAACATCTTGTTTTTCTTGCAACTCCCTAGCAATGTTCGCCATATTGCTGGACTGGGGCCAATTGGCATGCTCTCAACGAATCTATAAGCCTCATCAATCAGGTTTGCACGACACAATAAATCGACCATGCAGCCGTAATGCTCCATAGATGGTTCAATTCCAGACTCAAGCAAGCATGACCAATACTTCTTCCCCTCAGAAGCCAGACCAGCATGGGCACATGCCAATAGCACACCAATAAGTGTCACGTTATTAGGCTCAATCTTAGCTTTTTCCATTCTTGCAAAAGTTTCCAAGGCCTCTTCTGCGTGCCCATGGATGGCAAACCCAACAATCATGGAGCTCCAAGCTTTGGCATCCTTAACTGGCATCACCTCGAAAATTTCCTTCGCTTTTTCAATGCACCCGCACTTGGCGTACATATTAACAAGCGCAGTACTGACTTCAAGGTCATTCTTTATTGCCTTTCTGTCAATATAAGCATGCAGCCACTTGCCCAAATCTAAAGCCCCATTCACTGCACAGGCAGAAATCACGCTCACCATCGTCATCTCATCAGGCTCCACCTTCGCCCTTTGCATATCCCTGAACAACCCAAAAGCTTCATTCACCATCCCAACCCTTGAATAGCCTCCAATCATGGCGCTCCACGCCACCACATTCTTATCAGTAATTTCATCAAACACTTTCCTTCCCGGAGCAACCTCTTCACATTTCACATAAAAGTTTAGCAACGAGGTCTGAACAAACAAATTCGAACCAAACCCTGATGATAATACATGCTTATGAATCTGTTGCCCTTCTTTGAAAGCCGCTAAAATTGCACAAGACTTCAATACAAACGCAAGAGTGAAGGTGTTTGATTTGGGGAACTTTTCCTGGAGCAATTTTTTAAACAAGTAAATTGGTTCTTGAGATGGGTTTTGTGATAGAATGCCTCTAATGAGGGTGTTGTAGGAGAATATGGTAGGGTTTGGGATCTGGGATAGGAGCCTTTTCGCGTGAGGAACATTTCTGTAAGCCACGAAGCAGAGGATTTTGGATAGAATGAAGGAGAAAGTTGAGGGTTGGAGGTGTGGATGAGTGAGAACGTGAGCGTGTATTTGGTGGAGGACTCTCGTATTGGGACATTTTTGGATCAATGATGCTATCTTCTCTTCTTCTTCAGCCAGCCCTACCAGTTCGTTGTGTTGCCTTACCAGTTTTGGATCAATGATGCTATCTTCTCTTTAGGTTCTTGTACCAGACAAATATGTATTCTTTTTCTTGTCTAGATCTGTTTTCAGTTTCTTGTGCTATGCAATGTCTTCTTTTGTTTACTTCTAAACAAAATCACGGAGTACCGCTACAGTTAAACGAACTAATTCAACCCAATTACATATTTACCTTTTTTCAAGAAAATAAAGATTAGAAGATAAACTCTAATCTTATAACTATATTTCGATTCCCTTCAATATATGATGTTTTTGATAAGTTATAGTACTGAAAATTTTCTTTCACGAACTCATTATACTATATTTATTATTTAGTATTTTTTTCTTAATTAGGCAGTCATACTATATAATATATAAAAAATGAATAATTAATTTTCTGATCCGTCTCTATTGACTTATTTTATTTGTTAGTCAATAGATTTTGTAATATAAAGTTATTTATTTAGTTATTTTAGTTTTTGTAATATAAGTGAACCCAAAACTTGGATTTTTTTTTTTAAAAAAAATTCAATTAGGATTAAAAGTCCAAACGTGGTTTGGTTTGGTTCGATTTAAGCGTCCAAATGAGTTTTTTTTTGGGTTAAAATTCACCCAAACCAACTAATTTGATTTTGGTTTTGAGTTAGAGTGAAAACTGCGCCCACGCCTACCTAGGAGCATAAGCCCCCTTTTGTAAGAGGGCCTGCAATTTATTTTTTTTATTGAGCACAGGCCGCTATTGTTTAAGGGACTGTACATATAGAAAACCCTATTCTTTTTCATGTTGGAGTGAAGTTTACTGTGTATCGTAAAAGGTTACCAATTATTTTTTATGTGATAAAAATCAAATCTTAATTTAATTAATAACTACTATTCATTCATTATCCGCATATTTATGTAAAGGGAGCAACTATTTCCATCCAGTATTTCTATATGTTCATCCACTATCATGCATCTTCTAGAACGTGCTTTATACAACAAGTGTACGAAATCAAATTTTGTAATATAAAATTGGAAGTAGAGTGTGAAACCCCATAGGCTGTAATTTAATATTTACCAAGTACTATAATTGAGTAACTTCTATTTTATCTAGACAAATTTGTTATCAATAATATTATCTTATTTAAGAGTAATCGTTATGATTAATTTGAGGAATGCAATTTATATAAATAAATCAATATAAGAAAGGCCTAAGAATGATTTTACTTAACTATTAATTATGTCTAACTATTCTAGTCAATTTTTCCATGTTTACAAGCAATAATTCTAATGCATTTCTCTCCCCTCTTTTGAGTATTGTCTAGAAATTAATCCTAGATTTCAATTCCAAATTAAAATCAAAAATTTATCAAATTTATAATTCTCTTACGGATTAAATTTCATGGATCTTATACTTTCTCTTGAACCATAAAATCTATGTTGTGCCAATCCTATGATCGTGCCTAAGTTCCCCTCTTTCGAGTGTCGGAATTGACTAATATCTATTCATTCAATTAGAAGCCAATTAATTGAAAACATTAATTTCATGGCACAATTAAACATATGTGGGAAATCAAATAGAAATAACTATAACATAATCAAACCATAATCTCAAGTTTTGGCTTCAATCAAGTTCTAGAAGATAAATTTAGGCCCCGTTTGATACCCAATTTTTTCAAAATGCATTTTTTTCTCTCTTCTTTTCAATCACACATTCTTTATTAAAATAATATTACATGTAAATAAAAAAAATTCTTATTTTTTAATCACACATTTTCCATCAATTTACTATTCTAAAATGCATTTTTACATAAAAATGTCTCCCAAACACCCTCTTAGTTCATGATATAATCCAGAAAAATACTAAAATTCATATAATAAAACATAAGAGGATAGAAAAAACAGTTGTAAATCTTTAATTTCTTCTCTTGTTCTTCTTTGCCTTATTCTTGAATCTCTTGATATTTTGCCCCTTTGAATTGTTGAATCTTGCTCCCTTCAATTCTATTTTTGGCTGGTTCAATTCTTCCAAAAAATAGGTTATTGATAGTGTATTTATAGTATTTTTAGTCTTAAACAAATAGGGTTGAATTGGACCAAAAAAGAGTCCAAAAATATATTTAAAAAATCCCTTTTTCGCATAGGTAGCACCCTGGCGCCCAAGACGAGCGGCATCATGTTCAATGTCAATTTTCAGCATTGTGGGCGCCACGACATCCACTTCAGGTGAAAAAGGCAGTTTGCGTTTCCTTCAATATTTTTATCATAACCTTTTTCTTTGGTTATCCAATTGAGACAATTTAAAATGCATTGGAAAGTTAACTTAAAGGACTATAACTTTGTTTCAGATATCATTCTCCAATTTGAAGGTTTGCTATATCAATATCGGTCTCAATATGAGAATAAAAATTCAGAATATAATTTTTTCGCTTGAAAATTGATGTGTGATTATACTTTGGCTATATTTGATACATTTGTCATCTTTCTTCATCCAATTGACCTGTAACGCTCTCAAAATTTTATCTTAAGGTACGACACAACTTTTGAATATTTGCACTTTAGTCTCCGAACTTTTGATCTCTTACAATTTAGCCATTTTCTCCAAATTTGTCAACTTTTGCTTATTTCCTTTAATTTCATCAACATTTATAACAATATCAAAACATACATTAAAACGCTCTAAAACTTGTACGAATTAGCTAAATATCAAGCTTAGATGGTGTCAAAAGTATGAATGAAATACATTCATCATCCACTTTTTTTAAAAAACTTATATTACATTTTTAACCTTAAGTAAATTTACTTAAATAGATACAAATAAAATCAAGTAAAATATATCCTTCTAAATCTATTCACTTTAGGGTACGATGGCCATCACTATATGTATCTATACATCAACACCAAGACTTCAGGCTATGATCTGCCAAAAAAAAAAAGTTCTTTTAATGCTGATGGCGTCTTATGTTCACCAATGCCACCACTATCGTTGGCTCTTCGAATTCCATTGCAAAGACCCCCATGTTCTGCAATGGAGGAAATTTTGATTACGAAAACTTTCTCATCATATCATTAACATATATCCATGTAATTGTTGCAAAATCTTTAGTTAAAGAAATCATCCCACTGCTTTTTCAAAATTTTCTACTTTATCTACCCAATAAATTATTATTCAGTGATAATGTAGCAATTTTTTTTCATGAACCCACAAAATATTTTGTTAAAGTTTTAAGAGCAAATTAGGCCCAGTACGACCTGGATGTTTTAAAATTGATTAATGCAGCTAACCTTTTTAACCTTTTCTTTTTACGTATTAAATACGGTGTAATAAAGGAAGATATTCAAAACCCTCCTCTCTCAATCTCTCCTCTCACTGTCCCAATTCATCATCTCTCATTGCCTTCCTCAAACTTCCCACTCGCCAATCTTGTTACCATATTGCCACCCCATCTCCATTCTCTCTTACTTGGACCCATCGGAGATATACCAAGCTAGGATCGACTGGGCTATTCAAATTTCATTTGTGTCCACAAATTGCCCTTCAACTACCCCTTTATTTTACGCAAAATGTCTGAACAAAGCTTGTTTATCATGGGTTAGAAAGATATATACGTGAGGCTCTGCAAACCCAATCCTTCTGACTGTAGCACAAAGGTTTGCCTATGTCAAACTCTTAATTTTTTTTGGTTCTGAATTGCGAAATTTGATTGGGATCTTGAGTTGGCCCTCATGGTAGGGCTTTGTGAAGCTTATTACTGGAGTTTTGTGAGTGTTCGATATGAAAAGTTCTGCCCATGTACATTAGTACGTCCCTAATCATTTGCAATGCCTTGTTATGCTCTATCCATTTATAGTTAAGCTCTTCCAGTAATAAGCACCCACGAGATAGTTTTATAATAAGATTGTGTTGCATGTCTTTTTTATTTGAATTTTCAAATACACGCACTTATATACCTAGTTAATTGTCACCTTTTTGAATTTTTGTCACTTTTTAATGGTATTTGTCACTTCTTTATTTTTATTTTTTTTTCAATCATATTTTTTGAAATTTCTCGCATTTTGGTGGTGGTGATGACCTCTTCTAGCAACGGAGATTGGGAAAAAAAAAAAAACACTCAACTTATTCTAATGTTGGGATCTTCATCAAGTGGAAGTCAATGGATTAGTTGAGTACTTGAGTTGTAAGATATCGGTGGCCGTGAATTAATTTAAAGATACTTGATATTTTAATTGGTGTTTTGTTAGTAAACTAATTTAAAAATGCTTGACGATAAACGGGGAAAGAGAAGAAACGGTGGTTGTGTCACTTTTTTGAATTTTTATCACTTTTTGAGTGCTTGTCACTTTTTTTAGTGACAAACATCACTTTTAATAAAAATGACATTGTATGTCATACATAACTTTAAAAAGTGATATTGTGTGACTTAAAAAAAGTGATAGTGTTTGTCATTGTTTTGAACTTTAGTGACATTTCTATAGTTATTCGATTTTTTGTTACTGTGTCTATTTTTGTCACTTTATTTTTTTTTAAAGAAATTTCTGTCACTTTTTGAGTGTTTGTCGTTTTTTTTTTTTTTTAAATTTGTGCCAATTTTTTTGTGTACGTTACTTTCTTTGAACTTTGTCACTTTTTCGAGTGTTTGTTACTTTTTTTGAATTTTTATTACTTTTTGAATGCTTGTCACTTTTTTTGAATTTTTGTTACATTTCTAATTTTTCACCACCTTTTTTTTTTCCGAATTTGTACACTTTTTTATTGTATGTCAGTTTATTTGATTTTTTTGTCACTTTTTCAAATGTGTTCTGTCACTTTTTTCTCTCCTTTTTTTTAAAAAAAAAAATTGTGTTACTTTTGTGAGAGAATGTCGCTTTCTTTGAATTTTTCATTACTTTTTCGAATGTTCGTCACTTTTTTCAATTTGTATCACTTTTTAAATAGATGTCACTTTTTTAGTGTTTGCCATTTTTTCTTATCATTTTTCATATGAATTGTCCTGGACATGATGAATATGTTAAGAACATGATTATTGGTGCTACACAAATGAATGGTGCTATTTTGGTGTTTGTCACTTTTTTTTTTTAGTTTTTGTCACTTTTTGAGTGTTTGTGTCACTTATTTTGAATTGTGAAAAAAGTGATAATTTTTTTTTTTTTTATAAAAAAAGTGACATTGTGTCACTTTTTAATTTTACACAATATTTTTTACTTCCAAAAAACTTTTTACATGATTTTTCAAAACACCTATAATTTTAAGGGTATTTTTGTAAGTTGCCCAAGTTTTAATCTTTACTTGCATTGGGCTTTTACAAAAAGCCACGCAGTCATAAAATTGCAACTTCTGGATTTTTTCTCGCTCTAGACAGTATGTTTTCTGTTGAAAAATATCCCTGTTGCACTTGAGTCATCCGAGGATTGTATGCAACTTAAGCCCTTATTTGAGCCCCATTTTTTTGGGAAGAATGAATTTTTGAATAGTGTATTAATGAAAAATGTGTGGTTAAAAAATAAAGAAAAATTTTGGATTTACGTGTAATATTATTTTATTGAAAAATGTATGGTTGAAATGATATCAAAACACTGTTGAAAAATGTATTTTTTTAAAAGAATGAGGCTCAAACAAGAGCTATGTGAGATTCTTTTTATTCTTTTTAAAAATTGTGTATTTCCATTTAATGCATTTGTTTTTGTTTTGATTATTAAGGTCATCTTTTAGAACTTTCCAAAAGAATCAGAACCAAACAAGTACTTTTGTTGATTGTAAAAAATCTTGATTTTTATAAAATAATTGTTTAGTAAAAGGCTGGTTTTAATTGGCTACATTTTTTTTTATCCTTCATCAAGATCTCTAGTTTATCCATGTATGGTTAAATATATTGATAGTTTGCCCATTCTTGTCTCAACATATTGTTGCTTTCTGATAACTTGTAAGTTATTGAGACGGATAAAATTTTGAGGACGGAAAATAGGGATATTTGTATTGAAATTTGGTGTGGATGTAGAGTTTTAAATGAATGAATTTAATAAGGTTAATATTGAAATAAACGTTGATAAATATAATGTTTTTTATAAAATTTAAAATTTTAATGGGGATGAACTTATGGTGAGCTAGATATATAAAATAAGTGAATGAAAATAACAATAACCTATATAAATTCAGTACTAAACTATTAAAATATATTAAAATTTGTGAATGAAAATAACAGTACTCTATGTAATGGGGATGAACTTATATTGAGCCTATTTGGGAGTGATTTTTTCTCCCAAAAAATTGATTTTTGGATTGTTATTTCACTATTTCAGTCATCATATTTGACTTCTTCTCTCACAGGTGGATCCCACTTTTCTCCTAACGGTCAAAAAATCAATTCTCAAAATCACTTCCAAATAGAACATTAAGGAAGAATCATTTTTTTTGTACGATTTTAACCCCTACAATTCAATTATTTCAATAATACCTTACTTTTCGTTTTTTGATATGTAATAAATTCTGCATAATTATTTTCATTTATGAAATTTGTGTTATTAATTATCAATTAATTAACATTAACATTAAGTTAGATTCAATGAATTTTCACTTGATAAATTTTGAATTACATGAATCTAGAGTTATTTTAAATGAATTTATTCATATTCACGTATCTAAAAATTTTAATGGGTGTTTAAATTTATGTATTAGCAATTAATTTTTATGTATCAAATGTAATATAAAAAAGATTGCTCATTTATAATATTTCATCATTACCAAAAAAAAAAAAAAATTGAATCTTAAAAATTGAGTTTCAAAAGTACAATTTTCTTTTTTTTAAATTTCTATGCTAAATTTTATTTTCTTTAATTCGTCCGAAACTCGTCAAATCTTCCAAAAAATTAGTATCAAATATTACTTTTACATCACTTGTTAAGTATTTTAAAATAATATATAATGCACGTTTAATTTTGACTAATCCTCCTAAAAGTTACTAATAATTTTAGGCAGATATGGACAAAATACTATTTTACTTTATTGGCATGAGCGCCAAATGTTATAAACAAAGAGAAGGATCTTAACGTCTGTTCACATACTTCAATTGATGATTTTCTGATTTAGTTTCCATAATTATTCATACCGTTAAAAAAAAGAAAAAAAAAATAAATTCAATCACCTTGGGCTAGTCTAGACATTGGTCGGTGAGCAGGCCCAGGCCCAGCCCATTACCAACCATACTGTACGTAGCATGTATAGTCAATCTGTGCACATGCACTTCCATTCACGTTCAACTTTCATGATGTTTGTACTTGCTTAACTACATTACTATCAGAAGCTAGTAAAATGCGAACACTTGATTTAGCCTGCCAGTTAACAACCAAAATGAAGAAGTAAAATTGTACCTCTTTTGGACAATATTACAAAATTAAACCCAATATCAAACATATCACTGCATGTCATTGGATAAAAGTTACTATCTAATATAACAAAATGTTCCCAGAGGGGAAATGGCAAGGACCACAATTTTTTGTAAAAAGGCACAGGACCCTTCTTGCTGAATCGACAGCTTAAGCTCGACTATCATACCTCAACAAGATCTAATGATTTTGTAGTATGTCTATCAAATGGGAATAAATTTGCTCCTTCATAGCATCCCTGTTGGTTGTGTTCAATGTATAAAGGCTAGCTCCTGGATGGTTTTTCAACCTAGCAACTGCACAGTGACAGAGTCGAAGTTGCGTCATAATTAAGTTTTTGAGTAAAAAAATATATAATAGCAAGTATATATAAATTCAGTCATAAAAATAATGTCACAAGAGAAGAAGTCAGAAAATCTGGAAACATGTTAATAATCTTATGTAAACGCAAATTGATTTAAATTTTGTGAAAAAAATGATTATGAATTTTCGTGCTACTAGATCATCTAAGTATAGTGGTATCTGCCACAATTCAAACTGAACTCAATAGTCATCTTTCAATAAAAACTCCAAACTAGAGTATCAATAAAAAAAAAAAAGGCTATAAATAAATGGAGACCAATCAAGCTTAGTTTAAGCCCTTGTTTGATTCCCATTAAATTACATTACATTACATTCTATTTTTCTCTCTCCTACTTTTAACCACACAATCTTTCATAAAATAATATTACCCGTAAATCGAAAATTTTTCCTTCTTTTTCAACCACTCATTTTTTCAACAAAACACTATTCTCCCCATTTTCATTACCCAAAATGGGGGCCAAACAGGGGCTAAAAAGAATCATACATAATGCGTGCATAACTCAATTTTGAGTTTTGCACAATAATAGTCCAGCAAATACTTCAGTGGCTTGTATGGAAGAGCTTTGAGCCAGAATGTTAGTTGATCTTACGCCTTACATTATATAAATAATGGTTTTTAAATTGGGTCTTGATGGATACATGTCGTACACTACATTGGCTAACGGTAAAAAATAAAAATTGCAGCTTATAGAAGTCTGTAGACGACATACCTCCAGGTATATCTCTGCCTGACTTTGGGATGGGGACAGAAGCCAACAGTGGGATATTTGATTCAAGCACTCTTAATACAGCAGGGAAGAATGATGAACTGAACAGCTCCATCTTACCAACTTCATCAATGATAAACAGATCGGTATCTTCCTTAACCTGGTAAAGGGACCATTGACCATTTAGCCCAAGTCATTAGAAAACCATTCAACTACCTTTATCTAAGAACAATAAAGTTACACCCATTCATCCAGAAAGTTCACTCTAAGCTCACATATGATTTATATATTATGTATTGACTGAGCCCACCTGTAATTCAGGTACTGCTAATGACTCAAACGATGCTATGTCAACTCTGTACCTCCCCACTGTGGGCCACCTATGAGACTCCGGGCTGCCATTGAAGAGGAAATGTAACCAAAGTTTCAAAAAATGTCAACTAGATCAAAGGGTTATTTTGTTGTTAGAATGAAGCAGTCTGCAAGCTAAGCAGAATAAAATTTCAAACCACAGACTCCCTCCTCTCGCAAACTATTTTAATTTTAATTTAAGCTCCCTGTCATGTTCTATTGCAAGTTCTAGACAGCCAATGCATTGTGAAACCTCACCTTCTGCCTCTGCCACTGACTTCACAGACAATAAATAAAGTGTTCCATTCATAGGAGAGGAATATATCATAGTAATGGCTGCCTAGATTGCATATGTTCACACCAATAAAGATAAAAAAAATAAAGGCTAGAAGACATTAGCATATTCATCAAAAACCACACTTCTTATGCAGTGGAGCATGGGGATACCCGACATCTCTTAGGAACATAGCCTCAAAACTACAGAAGTGCAACAAGCCCCACTTCATAAGTTTTAAAAAGTAGAATTTGGATAAAATTTTAATTTATTAATATATTCAGGAAAAAGGGTCAAAAATAAAGAACTCTAAATCTATAAGGAAAAAATTGGTGATACAACTTCGACTGCTGGGGTGATTATTGTGAATCAGATTTCCCCCCTGCTCTAATTTCATCTCTCTTGACCAGATTTTTTTTTTTTTTTTTTTTCGTGTTGCTGCTACTTTATCATTTAAGCCTTGAGCTACAAGTTGCTGAAGTCAAATTTCGTTTCTCCTATAATATACATTTCTTACTATAAAGTAAGAAAAAAGGAAAAAATTTCAAAATAGCTCACCCTTGTCATGGTCAATGTGAAAAATGTCCACAGTTAAAATTTGTCTGTTTAAAATCCCATTTTTGTGGATCTACATTTTTAAGAATGACCTTCACCACATCATCACCTTCTTACTCACCCCTACTCTCATTCCCTACCCCTTGCACTCTGAAAGCATCCCTTTTCATATCTCCATTTCTACCCTTTCCCCTTTCCACCTCTCTCCTTTCTCTTATGGAAAGCTCGAGAGACTCCTGAGCTCCCAAGCAGAAACTCGAGAAAATCAGGAGACTTTTGAGCAGCAACCTGGGATTCTCTCAAGTGGGAGAAATGGAGAAATCAAGGAGGAAAATGTGGGTAGACATGAGAGAGGAAGAGGGAAGGGGAATTGGAAAACAGATTCAAGGTGGTGCTAGGATAGCAGGGTGAAGGATGAGTGAGGAAGAAGAGGGTGGGAATGGCTGAGAAAGAAGATAAATGAAGGTGTTCTAAAAATATAGGAAGTTGTGCTATTTTTTATTTCTCTCTCGAACTTGATCCGTCTTAAATAATTTCTAAAAAGAAAGACATTAAGTAACAGAGAGATCATATATCTCCCCCGATCAATATTCAAGTAGTGTGAGTGAGTGGTTTATGAATCCTTTTTACAAACAAGGAAAAGAAAACTACAGAGTTCCTCCGATCAAATGTGATTTTTAAAGGTTATATTAACATCAATTTAAGTCAGATAAATACTAAAAGAAAATTTCAAGACACTTCCACAAACTCTTGCCATAAGACTCCACAAGGTTCTGTCATATTCCCATTCTCAACTAACGTTTATTTCAACAAGCAGCATTAAGCGAGCTACAGGATCACTGGTAGCAAAATAATAGGTTAAAGTGCACTTATAGTAAAATTTGACACGCATTATGTGAATTCCAACCTAGAAATCCTTCTACCCAGTTTATGAAATAAAGAAGATAAAATCTATTAGGGTAAAGATAATAAATTATATATAAAATTCATTAAACCTCATAAAAATCTATTAGGGTCAAGATAATAAATTAAAAAAAAAATGTTAAAGAACTTTTGAAATAAAGAGGTTGGGGGAGGAGAACAAGAAAAATACCTAGAAATTTTGGTGGAAGAAAGAAGACCCTTACGACCATCGAGAGTAACAACTTCAAAGCCTATCCTTTCTGCACCTTCTCTCACCTCGCCTATAACATTAAATTCAATTCAATTAAATAATAAATTTTCATTCACCGACTCAATATGTACTTGAATAAGAAAGTGCGTACATACGAGTGTAGAAGCCTTGGACCTTTAAGCTGGGATTAGATTGTTTAAGGCTCTCCAGCACTCGGATTATCAAAGTTGTTTTGCCCACTCCCTGCAAAACAAATGCACGGACGATTCGCCTTCATAATCAATGAATATAATCAATAAATATGCGAGCGTGTGTACTTGTACAGACATACGGGAGGTCCAGAGACGAGAAAGCATTTTCCTGGAGCAGCCATTTCTGATTTTCTGTCTTCCTTGTTAACTCTCAAACTCTCTTCCAGAAATATAATTTAGGAAATTTTCAGAATTAGTCCCTCAACTATAATGTTTTGAGTAATGTGATATTAGTTAACCTAAACGTTTCAATCCTTGATTTCAATTTATTTACAATGACCAACCTTATGGACGGTTTGTATCCAATTTTATGCCAAAAGTTCAAAATTTTCAATGACTATACCTTCATTTTCAAATTTAGAAAAAATAAAAGAAAAAGGAAAACATCTTCCTTACCGTGTCTCTTATTTCATATCATCCACACTAGTGTAATAATCATTTATTTATCACTCATTTTTATCCAATCTTAAATTAAGCCATTTAAAAATTCTTCTAAATATTAGTTTCTCAACGTCGTCTTAATTGACTAACTCATTGCGTATTGAATTATATCCAAAGGCAATTCCAGGATTATGATTTAGTGAGGGCAAGTTAGAATTATGTAAAAATAATTGAGTTTGTGTTAAAAGTTACCGGCTAAAATTATGTGAACTTTCTTTTCAATGTAAAAAATTAAGGATCTAGTGGAGGCAATTGCATCTAAGTATGTCTATGTTCATTTTCTCAATGAAAACCCTTTTTTATTTGTATACGATGTTTGTATCAATCTTATTCACTAGTATAGTATTGATCTCGTATGCACCACTTCCCTTTCAAAACTATGCACACAGAATTTATTATATATTTGTGATTAATTGAGAAATATATATGAATAATGGAATGAAGAGTAATTTTACAAAGATGTCATGAGTGGTGCGAGTTTATAGTCACGTGCACAATTTTTTTTTTATGAAGAGTAATTTCAATCCAACTCTCCAATAATTAAATCAAGACCATGTTGAATACGTTTGAAGTGTTATTATTAAAAATGAGGTCTTGAGATCGAAGAATGACTAGCAAGACTCAAGTGTAAGTCGAGGAGTTCTAATCATGGCCTTCTTTAAAATGAGTAGTAAGTTATGTGATAGGGAAGAACTTGTATTAGTATCTCAGTTTTAATTCAAACATGAGTTTGATTCACACTCTTATGTTTTGAGAAATATTTACCATCCAAAAGGAGATAAAAACGGAATCTTTATTTGAAAAATTGATGTCTTTGAATTCAGTAAGATTTATATTGAGATTATTTTTTCTTTTCTTGATTTTCTTGAATTGAAAACATTGATGACTGTCTTTTATATTAGGATTATCAAAACAAGAATTTGAAATTTTACTGTTTTTCTTGATTTTTTTTTTAATCCAAAACAATGGAGACTAATCTGCTAGAATTATCAAAATATGTAAAGAAATTTTTGACAGTGCACATTGATGACAATGATTTAAAATATGGAAGGATAAAGAAGGAATTATAATATGGTAGATATATAAAAATGGTGAGATAAATATAAAAAAAATGGCACTAAGCACTTTGAAGCCTTCAATCTAGTGTCTTCTTAGAAAATAATCAACTCACAGTTATGAGTCCGTTTGTTTCAAAGATGAAATTTGGGTGGAAAGAAAACGAATTTCAAAGAATTGAACTGTCTAGAAATTGTTTTATTGGGAAGTGTCAATTATTGTGTTTGATTGGTATAATTTTCCACGTGAAAAATGTTGAAATAAAAGTATTTTTTGGTATTCGTTTGACTTTGCTTTATATGAAAATTGTCAATTAAAGGGATATAATTTATTGGTATTGGGGATAAAATTTGTTTCCATTGTCAACAAAAAAAATAAATCAAGAAAATCATCTATCTTTTGGTATTTGTTTGACTTTATTTTACATGGAAATTGTCAACTAAAGGAAAATATTTTTTTTATAATAAAGGATAGAATTTCTTTCCATTACCCAAAAAAAAAAAAAAATGGGGAACAGTAGCCCAAAAAACCAATTCCCGATTTTCATTGAAAACCAAGAAAAGTCCCCTTTTCAAAAAAACAAAGAAAATCAATTTCATGGAAAAAAAAATATATCGAACTGCCAAAAAGTGGAAGCTGGAATTTGAATTCCATTTTCCATGGAAAATTCATGCCTATCAAAGAGACCCATATGGTAGCTATGAATGAAGCTTGGTCAGCTTGTGAAAATCTATAATTTGTCTTCGGTTATCAGTAGCACCATTTAAGGTATATGAATTGTTTGGGATAGAATTTGACTTACTGAGGAATTGCAAGAGTCTGCATAATCAATATCAGGTTTTATTTCCCTTTTTGGCGTGTCCATGGCTACCCATATCTACCATGTTCATGTCATCAAGCAGACCAACGAATTCAAAAAGCTGTACAACTTGATCGAGTAAACAATGGTTAAGAGTTTCTTCAGATTGTGACTGAATGCTATAATAAATTCCATTGAATTGAATAAGATCATTGAGAAAGTAACTTTGCTTGCTTTAAGCTAAGAGTTCACTTTTCAATATGTGAATTTATGACTTCATTCCGAATTCACAAATTGGGAAAAGTAGATGCTCGTTCAGTATTATATTGCCAGTGGAGGTTTAAAATATGGTGGATGAGGACAAAGAACGAAACATTTAGAGTGCAAATGTTCACCAGAAAGAAAGATATACCCAACCAATTGGTTTACTTCCTCTTACAGCAATATGGTGTCATGTACCAAAAAGCAAGTGTCAAATTGAAATGGAACAATGTAAGTTAATTCCAAGCCTTTTTAACAAATCTCAGTGGTAACTCAATTCACTACCTCACACAGTAAGCTAAGCAGAATTACATAATAAACCCACAATCTTAAACTGCTTCAAAACAGAGTAAATTTCTCAAATGAGAGTATAGCTCCTTCTGTAAATCTACAATCTTAACGAAAATATTCAATTTGTATTGTGGAAATTACATCAGCGCATTTCTTAGAGAAACGACTATAAAGACGGGTAAAAACACCTTTGCAACCAGGGGCGGACCCAGAGACTTTGGATTGTGGGGTCAAAAATGAAATTTTTTTCGAATAACGTATCATTAACGAAAATAAATTCATAGGATTAATGGATTGGGGTGGATAATTAATTGGAATTTGGAACCCCAAACCCAAATAACACTTTCAGCAGCAGAAAATTTTAAAAAAAAATGGAAAAAAAAAACTGTGGGGTCATTTGACCCCACATGACCCCATGTGGGTCCGCCCCTGTTTGCAACTCTTGGACTGATCGCTGATGAGAAATTCTCTGTCTAGGAGTTTCAAAGCCGCGAGCCATCTTCCAAAAGAGACTATAATTTCTCAATGTTGTAGGTATTACCTATTGGATTAATTCCATATGTGGGTTTCATGTTCGATTGCAAATTTTACGGGTTAAATATATGGCTCACGATGATATTTGTGTTTGGGCAAAATTTATTAAGTGATCAATTGGGCCTTTTAAACCTTACAAGTTGTAATTAATATAATGTGGTAATTTTAAGTATGTAGGCCGAAAATAAACCCTAATTAGAATTCTAGTCGTAATGGGACGACTCAATTATTTTCTATATAAAGACTAGATCCCCTCTCCTCTTCATATTGTTTTTATTAGCTTACCCCATTGATAATTAATACTTTGTAAGGAGCAATAAGGGAAATATTTAGCTGCTATTACAATTATAATTATTATTCATATCAACAATGGCTTCCACATGTATGAATTCATTTTATTAATTTATTATTTGGTGATTCTTGATACTTAGCACGATTACAAATAAATTTCAACAATTGGTATTAGAGCCTATATGCTAAGATCAATTCCTTCATATATATATATATAAACAGCAAGTTCGATGATTTGCATTGGATTCTGACTGGTAAAAGAAATTACATACGACAAATATTCTTGTTATAATAAGACTCCCTGTTTTGCCAAATTTATGTATTAAATGATTGCCGTGTTGTCAAAATCCTGCTTTGTATGTCTCTGTTTCATGATTTATCACAGAAACCAATAGATTTTGAAGGAAAAATCCATATGTACAGAGGTTTAAGTTTACAGAAGTTGCACAGAATAGACTCTTGTGTGTGGACCCCACGGTATATAAAATATTCCAAAAATGTTGTGGGCCCCAGAAACTGTGAGATTTCTGTACCCATTCCGTATAAAAAAAATTATGTATATGTTTAACAGTCCGATTTTGAGTTTAATAATAATACACATGTTGGACAAAAGTTTGTATAAATAAGTGTGTTATAGGTTACATATGTGCATGTTCTTTCCGGCCAAATTTATTTATTTATTTGGCTATTAACGGCTCTTGGAAATAAAATTGAAATCCTAACGTTAGGAAAGTAATATTTTAATATAAAATGTATTGGCAATCATAGTATAATTACAATATGTATACTTAATTGGTGCCACATGCCAAGACGGAAAATTGGATTTTCTTTAGGATTTTTCTGTAAAAATGGGCAAAATTGGTTGGAACGGGACCTATGTTGCAATTTTAGAAAGTGCAGGCCCCTGCTTGCCATATGAACTGGGGTTAAGTTTGTAAATAATAAAAGGAGGACGTAGTCTTAATTTTTAAATTTAAGGTCAAAATGCAATTTTCGAAAGAGTATTAAATTTGACTTTTTAAAAGGGTTCTAAAATTATGTTCTAAATGTGTTTGACCTATATTTTAATTTTGACCC